CATCTTGGATGCTCACCCTGAAATAATTATTCCACACGAGTTTAATCTGTTGGAAAAATGGAGAAGTTACAATCTTCCAGCGTTCAAAAGGAAAAACCTACTAAAATATAAGTTATATTTTGATCTTCACCAGACCTCTCTCAAGCAAGCCATCTTTGGAATACGGGCAAGCCGAAATAGAACAGTTCTTGGCGGGGAATTTACATACTTATACAATGTTCCAGATTTATGGCAAGGTGGATACAAAAACAGGATCAAGGTAGGATTAGAAGACGATTTTCATTGCTCATGGGCTACTATCACATACCACAGTCAACCCAAGCTTATCCTAAAGAATAAAGAGGACGCACCTGCATCGGTGGCGGGTATTACAAGATAATTTGGTATATCTTCTGAGTTTATAATGTAAATTGGCCACCGTCAAAAATTTTTAAGTTGAGGTTTCGACTGTTAGCCATTCATCAGCCTGACAAAGACCTAACGCTCGAAACGTCAACCTTGAAAAATTTTCGAGCAGAATTCGTGACATTATCAATGATTCATAACCGATAAAACGGCAAATTTGAACGCGACCTCGCGTTGATGAGCCCTAAATTAGCCTATTTAAACCCACTTTTCTGAGTTTTAGAAGAGCTAACTTCTAGATCATGTTGTATCTACATTTTGCAAATAAAATTTGTAACTGAAATGAAGGACATTAAAGAAGTAGAAGAACTGTCCTTTTTCACTTGAAACAATTCTCTTACTTTTTGTATGAAAGTCATTTCGAGATCGATTTTCTTAAAACCCTTACTACTCACTAAAAATCAACGCAAAGCAAATGGCTGACACACCTTCCCTCTGAGAGAATCCGTTTTAATTTTGAAAATTAAAACGGATTTTGAAGAGCTATACACCTGTAAACAGTGCCCATCGTGCAATCAATAGCACTTGTCGATTTCTTCATAATTGTCGCGAATTCTAAAATCTTTCGGTACATCGGCTGCTAAACCTTACCCTTACCGATCACATCAAAAATATTAGTTATGCCGGGAGCTCTTTGGGTAGCTTTTTGAAACCGAATACAGCTTTTTAAGTTTTCCTCAGAGTTGAAATGATCTTCGGATAATGTTTTTTATAAATGTTCCTAAAAATTGTCAGATAATTTTGCTGGATAACCTCATCTAATGTCTTGCTTAATAGTAAATATAGTTTCGCTCTGAAGAAAAAGATATTAAGCGATTTGACCTTTCGAGAAGCAAAAATCTGTTCCTGCCTCGAAAAATATTTTAACGAGACCTGCGTTGTCTCAGATAAGAAGCTGAAGTTTCACAAGGACTTTTCGAAGTTCTATGTGAGTGACTGAGTTGGTACGTAGTGACAAAAAGCATAGCCTACACAGAGAGCGAAACTCTTTCCAAACCGCATTTAAAATTTGAGTTCGAACACCCTCATTTTATTTGATGTATTTTCTGTACTAGTTTTATCACGACTTTTCCTTTAGGTGATAGGAGACAAAAAAGGGGGACGAACTTCGCAGCTCATAAGTAAAGACCCGAGCAGTATCAAACAGTTAGAAGAAATCGCTAAAAACGTGGGAGTGCCAATGAAATTTATACACATTGTCAGGAACCCATTTGATAACATCGCTACCATGGTACTTCGCAGAGCAGGCGAGCGTGATAATGTAAGGGAAGAAGGAGCAAAAGTAAGTTGATTCATGATATTTGAAAATTTGTCAAATTACATTCTCATAATTAGTAATATCATTATCATTATTATATATACATAAGAATTATTACGAGAAATATGATTGGTTGAGAGCATTTAAATGATATACAGTACATAACATGTGAAGTGAGCACGATAACTCAATATCGGCAACGGATATTGTAGTCATGATGTGGAGTTGAAAACCTGCCTAGTTTCGATGCCCCTCAACTGTGTGGGGTTCTCAAACTTGTGCAAACTCAGAGGGAAGTGTCTTCTTTGGTACATTGTTTTAAAGATGAATAACATGACAATTAGTGATATGGATTTCGTATGGTGTCATAAATTATGAACCCTAGTGTCTGTGTTTTCTGCCTCTGCCTTCGGCAGATAACTCAAATCTTGGTTTTGATTATTCGTGATATCATGCTCAACCTCATCCAATTGCTCATTATCATTATCATCATCGTCGTCATTAGTGCCACTGTCACTGTCGGTATCGCTGTTGTAATTATTATAATTGCAATTATTATTAAAACCACCATTAACGATTTCATAATCAGCATCAACGTCATTGTAAACATTAAAAGGAGTCGTCAACATTTTCTTTATCGTTCTCAAAATAATAAATACATTTTTACCATTTGTCACTAAAAGGTGAACAGCCCAGTGATTTTGGAGAACTGGATCAAGCTCTACTTCAACCTTACAAAGGCCAACCAGCGCGTCAGAGAAAGGTTTGGGGATGCAGTTATCGATATTCCAGGACATGAAACAATACTCAGACCGAAAGAAACACTACAAAAATTGTGTGATCATTTAGGTGTGACATGTACGGAGGACTACATAGAAAAATGTAGTAAGATCTTGTATGGAGCTCCTTCTGTCACAAGAGATAAAATTGTTTGGACTGAAGAACAAAAACAGCGGGTCACTGAGCAGATGAAAAAATATCCTTTTCTAAGAGACTTTTCGTTTGACGATTACCTATCTTAAACTCACAGGTAGCAGCTGCAGAATAATTTTCAATTTCGCGTTTAAAATTAGGTTTCATTGGGCTTGCATTTCTACTCCCTGCGATTTTACTAGGAAAACGTTACTAATCAACCAAGCATACGCTTTTTTCCGACAAGGTAACCAATCAGATTTATTTATCTATGTATCGCCGTACCAAAGGCACTGGAGGATTTCCCAGTCCTCCCATCCTCTCCCATTGCCTCTTGAGCCTTAATCTGACAGTTAGTTGCTCACCTTTTCTCTTCCATGTTGCCTTTGGCCGGTGTTTTGATGTGCTCGAAAATAAAACATGTACTTTGTGATAATTATGCAAACAATTAAATTGTAGAAAGAACAGTTACAAATTCAACTGTCTCTTAAAGGCACTGTCAGCGACAGTACAATGAGTTTGATTGATATGCTACTGGTTAGACGAAACACCAAAAAATAAACACTTAACTGCTATTGAGAAGCTAAACTTATCTCGAAATCCTTCGGAACGGCTACGGAACTCGAATGCCAAGAAACACTCTGGCTACTACTCAATTATATAACACTTTGCAGTAACTACTAATTGCGAACGAAGATATTTCGGCAAAGAATGTCATTAGGTCGCATACGTTTCGCGACAACAACAAAAGTTATTACGTAAGTTTCTTTGTTGGTTTTTTCTCTTTTACAAGTTTTTGAACACTTTCCGTACAGTCCTTTTTTGTTATCAAAGTCCTTTCAACAGCTACTGTTATCAAATTCCTATTATTTCATTACCGGATTTACATGTTGCATCGGCAAACATTTCAACTTTATTTTAAAAAAATTTCAAAGAGGAAAGAGGTAGTTTTCGTTAGAAAGAAATCCTGACGAAAGTGATGCATTGGACTTCTCTATTCAGTGGATAAAGGAGTCAGAAAAGTCAAAAATACAGAGAGCGGACGGCAGGAGAAACTAGGCACGAACATTTTGATGAAACCTTTTAAATGCTGTAGATCACTGATTATGATATCTAACAAATAACGAAACTAGACATTTGTCACCCAATTAGCAATAAAGAAGTCAATCAATCAAACACACATTGTATCACCTTTTATTACTCTGACAGGAGTAGGTAACACTTACGTGGTTCTAAGAGTAAATCAATTTGGTTTCACGTAAGCAGTGGCTCAACTCATTTAAATATCTGTAACAACTGCTACTTCTGCATACACACCGTTCGACCCTTGCGCGCGCAGCCTATTCCCCAGCTCACCGCGCCCATCAGATGCGCTAGACGCCATAGAGGGGCATTTGGCCGACCTCATATGTAAGGGGGGAGGGGGGGAGATATTTAACGGTAACTGAACTGATTGCAGGGCAGTTTAGTCTTAAATCGTACAAATGATTTCAAAATGGAAGGAACCCGCAGCGCTGGTTTGTCTGCTGTTGTCATGCTGTTTTTAGAGCTTTCTCGCTCTAAAACTTGTTTTGTGGCCTGTTTCCAGCTACTCCCGATTATTCAACCTTTATCTCACTAAAAAAAACGTTCTTACTCTTTTCTTGCTAAATTACGCAGTATTCAGCTTTTTCGCACCTGAAAAAGGTTTTCGCCTGTTTGCAGCTAATCACGCTGATTTTAGCGATATCTCACTCAGAAGAATGTTTTTGCTTTTTCGCTACTAAGTTACGCTTTTTTCAGCTCTATCGCACCGAAAACCCTTTTTTGTGCTTGTTTGCTTGGATGTACGCTGCTGTTATCTTCCTTGCACTAAAACTGGTGTTCTAGCCTGTTGGCAGATAATAGACTGTTTTTAGCTTGATCAACTCAAAACAACGTTTTTGCTGTTCTGTTGCTAAATTACGCTGTTTTCAGTTTTTTTTTGTACTGAATTAAGAGTGTCACCTGTTTGCAGTTAATGACGCTGTTTTAAGCTATATCTCACTCATAACAACATTTTTCTCTCTGTG